TTCTTGTCTTACGGGAGATTTAGTTTTGAATCAAGGAAAAAAAGAAAAATCCTATTAATTGGCACAACCTCTGTGAAAAACAGAACTTTGTTCATTAAGAGCCTTGCAGTGGCCAGGGATTATTTGGAATATACTGTGCAGGGAAATAGCCTCTGTATTTCATAAATGTGCTATGTAAAAAAAATAATGAGTCTAAGAAAAGCTAGCTAAAAAAAACCTAGGTATCAGGGAACAGAGTTACAGCATGAAGCAGAGAAAGGGCTGAGCAGTGGGCGAGTTTTGTTGGTATAAACCCATGCATGATAGACTCCACGCACAGACTGATAGTCTCAGGGAGGCCAAAGCTCTAAAAAAATTGTTTCACTGCATTTTTCTCTCACTGCATTTCTTTTACTTTCTACCACTTCTACTATGCACAGCAAGTTCTGTTTGTTAAGGGCCTAGAGAGTTTTTACTTCCAACATCAGGTCAGCACACGTTGAGAGGAATGGATACAGAGAATTACACCATGCTTAAAGAAACAGCACAGTTCAGGCAGGTAATGTTTTGGGTTTTTTTAAGAAAATTGTTTTGTTCAACTAGAATCAATTGTTCGTAGCAAAACTGTATAATTCCCCATATTTTTTTCTATATGTTGGTACTATGTTGTAACCCCCTTTTTTAAAAAGGGGAAAAAGGAAGACTTGGGGAATTACAGGCCAGTCAATCTCACCTCTGTGCCCAGCAAGATCATGGAGCAGATCCTCCTGGAAACTATGCTAAGGCACGTGGAAAATAAGGAGGTGACTGGTGACAGCCAACATGGCTTCACTAAGGGCAAATCGTGCCTGACAAATTTGGTGGCCTTCTGCAATGGGGTTACTGCGTGGGTGGATAAGGGAAGAGCAAAAGATGTCATCTACCAGGACTTGAGCAAAGAATTTGACACTATCCCACACAACATCCTTGTGTCTAAGTTGGAGAGACATGGATTTGACAGATGGACCACTCGATGGATAAGGCGTTGGCTGAATGGTCACACACGAAGAGTTGTGGTCAAGAGCTCGATGTCCAAGTGGAGACTGGTGATCAGTGGTGTTCCCCAGGTGTCAATACTGGGGGCAGTGCTGTTTAGCATCTTTGTCAGCAACATGGACAGTGGGATTGAGTGCACCCTGAACAAATTTGCCAACGACGCCAAGCTGTGTGGTGAGGTCAACATGCTGGAGGGAAAGGATGGCATCCATAGAGGGACCTGAACAGGCTTGAGAGCTGGGCCCGTGTGAACCTCATGAAGTTCAGCAAGGGCAAGTGCAAGGTCCTGCACATGGGTTTGGGCAACCCCAAACACAAATACAGGCTGGGTGGAGAATGGATTTAGAGCAGCCTGGAGGAGAAGGACTTGGGGGTGCTGGATGACGAGGAGCTCAACGTGACCCATCAATATGCGCTCACAGCCCAGAAGGCCAATCATATTCTGTGCTGCACCAAAAGCAGCGTAGCCAGCAGGGTGAGCGAGAGGATTCTGCCCCTCTGCTCTGCTCTGGTGACCCCCCACCCGGAGTCCTGCGTCCAGCTCTGGAGCCCTCAGCACCGGAAAAGACATGGAGATGTTGGAGCGGGTCCAGAGGAGGCCATGAAAATGATCAACGGGCTGGAACCCCTCTCCTCTGAGGAAAGGCTGAGAGAGTTGGGGCTGATCAGCCTGGAGAAGAGAAGGCTGCAGGGAGACCTCACAGCAGCCTTTCAGTACCTGAAAGGAGCCTATAGGAAAGATGGGGCAAGTATTTTCAGCAGGGCTTGTTGCAATATACAAGGAGTAATGGCTTTAAACTAAGGGAGGGTAGGGGGAAGATTTATATTTGATGTAAGAAATTCTTTGCGATGAGAGTTGTGAGGCCCTGGCACAGGTTGCCCAGAGAAGCTGGGGATGCCCCCTTCCTGGTCATGCTCAAGGCCAGATGGGTCTTTGGGCACTTTGAGCAACCTGGTCTAGTGGAAGGTGTCCCTACCCATGGCACAGGGAGTTGGAACTAGAGGATCTTCAAGGTCCCTTCCAACCCAAACCATTCTTTGATTCTATGATTCTACTGCTTTTCTTCCAAACACATACTACAATGCAGTTCAACTCCCTCTAAGTGCACTCTAACACTGTTGCTTCTGGACTAATTTAAGGGACAGTGACAAATCAGAAGTAACTCAAAATGTACTCCTAAAACTTGAGGTGAACCCAAATTACCATTGCTTTCCAAAAGGTACTGGAAAAGTCTCTGACCTGCTAGAAGCCAGCCGCATGCCTGCCAGCCTTACAGATAATGTTGCAGTCTGCCTCTTCCTGACTTTCGCATCTTTATCTTAGCAAGCTGATACCACCTGAAAAAATTGATAGATGTTATTCATGAAGACTGAAACACGATGTCTGTGCAAAGACAACTCCAGCTACTTTGAGTCTGAGCTGAAAAAATAAGATTACTTGATTTGAAATGAGCACTTATCTAATGTTCCCTCCTCGCTGGCACACTTGCTTGCTACTGCACTTTCAAACAATGTAGTTAGATAAATCTCTCCCCTGCCACTGGCCAGCCTTCTTCGCAGAAAATAGGCTGGGATGGGACCACTGGGAGAGAAAAATCTGCCTGCAGCAACCTGTCCTGCAGGATCAGCAGCCGTGCTGATGGTGGTTGTCCAGGTGAACCTCCAAGGGAAACCGCTCAGTAAGTGATTGAAACCAACCAGGAAACGTGACTCTTTCCTTGACCAAGCTGAAAGAAATGCAAGTTTTGCATCAACAGTAATGAATATAAAACATCAATTATGTGCCCATACTAAGGAGTCTCCGCAGACCAGCCATGAGAAGAAGGCCAGGCAGGCAATGCAGTGGTGCCCTCAGGATGCTACTCTGGAAACCCCAGCCACAGACTGACCTGGGGCCAATGTGGCTTCCTGCATTGCCTGGTAAGCTGCCAATCAACTTCCTACAGCCCTACACACGGGGCAGCACACTTGCCGGTGTGATGCTCTGCAGCCAACACAGCAATGCTCTTTCTCCATTTCCCAGCAGACAGCCGTTGAATGGTTTCGCTTTGGCATCTTCCATAAGCTTCTACTACAGACCACCACTGGAGAGAAAATACCAGTGTAGGCAGATCCTTCAGCCTGAGGTAATGTGGCCTTTCTCATCTGACGTCGAGTAACTCTGCCCCTTCCCTCGCACTTGAAGAGTTGTGGTGTCCTTGTACGAGCGGGCCCAGAAGACAGTGCTGCAGGTCATACACACAGATGCGTCTGCATACGCGAGCGCTGGCGAGCCGTCTCCCAGTATATGCTGCGTAAACTGCCTTACATCCTGAAGTCCCTTCCATTTGCAAATCTCAGTATTAGATATGTAATCATGAGATAACATAAGCATCATCTTTATGCAAAAATCTCATAATCTCCAATATGCATGTGCCCCTTTAAAACCAGAAAATAGCTCCTGAAGACTGGGTGCCTGTCACATTTTCTGATTGTCCATCAGTGATGCCATTACTCTGTCAGAAATCCCAATAAATGCAAAGGTCTGACCTTTTCCCCCACCTAATTTCCTTTTCATAATAGCAGGAAGACCCAACCAAGCAGGGAATTTCTGTGAGGATTATTGCAGTTCTTGGGTGGCTGATATGCCTTGGCCTCTGGCAGCAAGCCATGCTACCTGCTCCAGAAAGGCACCACATTGCATAGGTTATTGCTTACATATTACTGCTGGGCAAGTGAATGCTCCACACACTGGGACAAATTCAAACGCCTTGAAAGGAGATATCTTCCTCAGCACTGGCATTCGTGTGCTGTGGCTGTAAATTACACCCAGAGTATTCATTTTCTTTTTATATGTGTTCTCATCTCATAATAATTAATGGTGTCAAGTTACTGGTGTGAAAAAAGCCTGACTTTACAACAACGATGGATTAATGAAATAACAGTCATGGCTGGAGTAGCAGCAATAAATTGTTAGAGAGGAGTGACTCACCTGAAGTGATACTTTCAAAGGCCTTAAATTCTTTAGGTTTCAATGTTCCTCATAAATATTTGGCTTTTGCTAACATTTGTTTCTGTGTTAAAAATGGAAGTCAGCAGCTCTGGCAGGAACAACTCTGTCGCCGATAAGCGTGAGGAGATGGGGCGCCCGTGCTTGCCAAGACATCATTCTCTCCCCCAGGGATGACCTGCTCCTAAGTCAGTGTCATCTGTCGCTCTCAGAGCTCCACTGTTTGGGGAAGGGAAATCCAAACCCCACAGGCTCAGAAAGGTCTAGAAGCCACACCGCCGAGCTCATAGGCCCCAGTCTCTCTTTTTAAAACCAGTATGAAGTGAGAAACTCTTGAAGCAGTCAAAATGGGGAGAAATCAGAGTAAGCAATTTCCACATAGATACATTTTTGATTAAATTTTTTATTCAATCCATTTTAATATTCAGCATTATAACATATGAAATGCAAGAAGAAGAGGGACAGAGCCCTGCAGATATATTGGGAGGGAGGAAAATCTCATTTAGAATATTGGGAAACTTATTTGATGTCAAAGAGCACTGGATCAGGCTATTGGAAACCACGTCTAAAGGCAAGGCAAAGAGAGAAATATATTCTCTCTACTTATAACGTGTCTGACACAAGACCTTTAATTGCTGGCATACAATAAAAAATTGACTGCTGATATCAATGCAATTAAATCACTTAGTAACTGCTGAAGACTCTGTATGCATTTCTCAATACTTATTATCAATTAAATTAGGTGTTGTAAATTGATAATTAGGTATTGTCAATTAGATTTTTTGGTAGGAAAATAAAAATCCTCTGAAAATTGCAGTTATTCCTCCAAACATCAAGTCAATTCAGATCATACAGCAAAACTAAGAAATATTAAACATTTTTGTAAAGCAAGTAGGACCTAACGAAAAGACACCAAAATCATCAAGAAACTTCCCAATGCAGTAAAAAGCATTTCCTCTCTCCTTGAATCTTTTGTTTTCCAGACTGTAGGTTTTCTTCACTGTGTTCTCATGATGGCCTCACACTGTTCCTTCATCTCCATCAAGGCTTGCATCAGGCTGTGATCTGTCCCGTGGGTCACCTTCATAATATTATAGGCCTTGAGGAGAGAACAGAAAGGGACACGTCAGCCGTTGCGCAGACCATACGAAGGGGCAGGTCCCTCTGTGGGGCACGGATATAAGTACTGGTCCTCAAGTGTTTGGCACCTTGGGACTTGAAAGCATGGCATAATAGAAATAGGAGTGAAGTATCCCAAAGTGAATAATAATTTGTCGCTGACAAAGGAGAAGGCACTGGCACATTATTCTTAGGTGTTAAAGCCCACTAATCTGTTGCACAGGTGCATGTTTGGAACAGTAGAGGGAGATGCTTTTGCACCTAGGCATGAAGACCATCTTAAGATTGGTCAAATACAGCCCCCAAGGTTTTGATACATTATTTATAAAATGACTGTGACATTCATGATGTTAGTAGCCTCAAAGTCCTGCAAAGAGAAATGGATTAATGCTTAACCAATGGAATAAACCGCCTTAACTGTATCAGGAGAAACTATGCATAGCATCAAACAAATAAGTATGTTCATAGTTTCACTCTAAAAAGGCATGCACAGGAATGGTTCTTTGCTGGTTTCCCAGGGATTATTTTCTCTATCTGTTGGTCATGTCACATTGCTAGGCCAATTTATGCTTGCTGATACTGCCCGTAGTGCTGCTGATTCCCTGCCACAGATGTGTCTGAAATGCTGTTTGCCCAGCTCACATTTAGATCATCACTTTCCGTATGACATTTCTGCTTCTTCCTTCTATTAAATTCCTCCTGCAAGCAGAGAAGTACCAGATGGAAGTGGATTCAGCACTTCTGAAGAAAGAACAAGGGAGCCACAAGTGTACTGGTAGGAAAGAAGACATCAGAGATTTTTTCACATCCCAAACTCAGGAACTGTCAAAACCTAAATGCAGGCTGTGTTTCAATGGGTTCCTGGTCCAATCATCTGATAAAATTCAGCTAAATTAGCTTTGGATTGCAGAAAAAGGAAAAGATCTTTTTGGAAACAACTGTTGAGGAAGGGCCCTCATTTAAATTGGAAAGATAAAAAGAAAAATAAATATATTTTTTTATTGAATGAATGAAAGCCTACTTCCAAATTCTAGAGACTGGAAAGCATATGGAAATTGTAGCATAGTTTGTTTTTGCTTCAAATTAGCTAATTTTTAAAAGACTAGGGAAGCAGCAAAAGATTGAAAGAACAAGTTGAAATAGCAGTCAAAACAAATCAGAGTGTGCAAGGAGCTCTAAAAAGAGTCAGATATGTTCTGAGCTACCACAATGCCACAACAAATGATAAAACACTCAGTTAAACAGAACAATGGAAATGCTTTCATCACCGTTAGAAATGCCTAAGAATCATGAAATGAAATCAGAAATCCTCAATCTTTGAATATTCCTATTTTAGCAGAAATACAAAGCTGGTCATGTTTTTGCAAAATGCTTGCAAGTGAGTCATAATTATTTTCCCTGAAAGACTACCTAAATTGTTCTTAGTGTTCTGCTGTTCCTAATTTGACATATTGGGGAAATGTTGCAAAGAATAGATCATAAAAGTATTTCACCACGGCGTGTCAGGGATTAAGCTGAACAAGAGCTTTTTTTCTTTTTTTAAATAAATAATTGAAAAAGTAGTGTAAAAAGCAAGAACAAAAGCCAGTCCTTACCCAGCAGAGACAGTGGGATGCAGACAGATGAACCCTTGCAAGGTATAGGAATCCCTGGATGGTGGGGTCCCATGCGTGTTGCAGGGCAGCAACACAGAGCTGCATCCAGACTAAGTAGGATCACCCTGGAGCAAAGTGGCCTGGTGAATTGGCCCTGGATCCAGGCACACCTGGGGGACAGGGTTTCCATGTCCTGGCCAAGAAAACTGATGGATTTCTTGCGAATGACTTATGCTGAGAGCTGTGCATTTGGATACCTCTGAGTTGCGGTCCCGGGGCAGCTGACCTTGACCTTCAGCCCACCGACAGGACAGGGGTCAGGCTAGTAGGGATGGACCTGGGCACCCTGATGCACAGCCGGAGATATCCATATGGATATGCCTCTGCTAAAAGGCAAAATCCTTAATATCAAACCTAATCTTGGGGCAATGCTACCATTGCTGACTTCTCTCTCACCTCCAACTTTTCCTTTCCAGTTCCTTTCTTTCCTCAGTATGGCAGATACATGCACCCACTCTTTATCCTTTTTTTTTTCCTCATGGAGAAAATCATTCTCACACCACGTACTGTCTCATGTGCTGCCGTAAGAGTCAGAACTAGCTGCACTGAAGTTAGAATAGCAACAACTTCTGTAACCCCCAAATTAAAGCAGCATTAAGTTATGCAGCTGTTTTTGTGAAGGTCAGCGCAAAACTGGGGCTCATTTCACCTCCAAAGCAAGGAATTGTTTCACTGGGCAGGAGCAGGAACGTGCAGGCTCTCTGAACACTCCCCCGCTCTCCCAAATGGCACAGCTAACCAGCAGAGCCTTGTGGTCTGTGTGGTCTTCCTCTCAGCTAAAAGAACAAATCTAATTATGAAGAACTATAGTAACGGCAAGGCAGCAACACAGGCCACAGTGTCATCAACCACGCACTGTCTCCCTGAAGAATATGAAACCCATCAGATCAGTGGTATGGCTGTTGCTCCATGAATGCAAATGAAATGCAGAGCAGTCGTTAGCGCCTGATTTGCATGGGGATGGGACGGGATGCCCGTCACCACAGCCGCGGGAACCGCGTGCGGACGCGGGGCGGCACCGCTCCGTCCTTGGGAAAGCAGAAAGCAAATGGCCACGCGCCGAAATGGCACGAAGCGAAATGGCGCTTCAGAGGGAGCGCCTGCGTTTTCCTGTCTCTGTTGATTGAAGGGGACACTTCTTAAAGCAGGCATAGGAAACCCAAAAACTATCAGTTGCTGTCAACCACAGCTGGTAGAGAATTCAGCGTTTGAAGAAAACACCCTCCACACCAGGGACTGCAGTAAGAAGGGGAGCGATAGTGTACCTATTGGAGGCGTGCCTGCCCCTGTCCCCACCGCTCCGCAGCTGGGCACCGCTGCCCTGCTCGGGACGCTGAGCGGGCACAGGCGGACACTGCCACTGCCGGAGCCCAGAGGACAGACTCGCAGCCGAGACAGCGCGCTGCAGCTCTCAGCAGCTCACTTTGAGGAGACAACACTCAGAAATGAAGTCATCTCCATGAATCCAAGCCTTCCTATCTGCGCCCTGCCTGTCCTCCCAAAACAAGCCCAGCTCCACTTGGGTTATGGACAACCAGACAAGTGAGCATACGGTGCCGTGAAGGTAACAAATAACAGCTAACAAATATTTATGCTAATGAGTGCACCTCAGGACAAATCTATAAAGATGCTAGGGGCTCCCGTGAGCTCCAGAGATGCAGGCCCGTCCTGGGCTCCTGCAGGAGTCCTGCTTCCTGGTCGAGAAGCTTTTCTCTTTACAAGACAGCTTGTTGCAACTTTTATCATTGTGGCTTTTTGCAGTCTTTCCAGGCTCTTTAAATTAGGTTTTCAGACTGGGGTCCTGCTCCGGTCTTTTGCTGACAAAGGTTTTCCTGATCTATAATTCCATTTGTCCTCCCACCATTGTACCTTTCACATATATGTACATAAATTTAAACTAATATGTTGGTTGCACAATAAAGCAAGGGCTACCTTCAGGTTTTATTGCAGAAGTGGAGTATTGCCTCTCCATAACACTTCTGTTTCCAAAACCTGGCAAATTAGATTCTGCAGGGCCTAATATTCTTTTAGGAGGTAATTTCATTTTAACAGGTAACATAAAACCCTTCACATTATTTAAGCCTTCTTTGGGGGTGCAGGGCAGAAAGCTAAACCCAAAGGGCCCAAAGAGGAAGGTGGTTACGACAGTGATTCATTTTTGGGTGGTACAGAGAGCAGCAGTGAGAGCTGGGCTGCAGAGCTGTGTGTGAAGATCCACTGGTCTTAGTAGGCTGCGCATCTGATGCAGCGAGGCTGTCAATCCCCAGCAGCTCGGAGGCTGTGCCTGATTAAACAGGATTTATATGAGTGAGGTGAATTTCACTCAGATCTCAGTTCCACTGCACCTTCCACATCCTGCTCCTTAATGCCACTCTGAAATTAGTCTGACGAGGGCTCCAACAGGCTGCTATTCAGTGTCAGAGTGTATTAAGAAGAGTAATGAAGCAGAGAAGGCAATTGAGTCTCTGCTCTGAGCATGTGGCACGCTCCGTTGACACATCTGATCACAAAGGGCCAAACTGTGTTCTCATATAACTCTAGGACATTTTCTGAGTTATATCAGGAATCACACCCTTTACTTGCAACAAACTGGGAATTAACTTGCTCTAATTTGTTCCAGTGTAGACAGCAATGAAGGAAATTGGTTTCAGATCTCATCCTAAGAAGCTTTGTGTCCTATGCTTACAAGTTGCATGGAGAAGCAGGGTGACGAGAAGTTTTTCCTCCTCTCAGCTGTGCTCCCAGAGAGCGGTAAATTCAGTCTCTCCCTGTCTCACACGTGAGTGAAAAGGGGGAGGCTGAACAGGCAATAGGTAAAACCACAACAGGATTAGTTTGTAAATGGTTCTGCATCCCAGCTGTAAAGCACTTACTGTCTCCTTGTGGATCACTAATGGGTTGGAGGCCACAAGAGATACACTGAGGTATGGCATAGGACAGTAAGCAGCACCTT